CCTTGGCCCAAGTGGTCTATGAAGCTCACTTCTGAGAGGTGGTCGTGGAATGCTCACTCCTAGTTGAGATTCTTAAAAATGCTCATCGCGGAACATCAGATGAAGTCAGGTGATGGCTGTAGTGAGGAGGATACCAGCCTGGCAACCAAACCTGCCACGGACAGGATGTGGGACTTCAGACAAGTCACTTTTCTCTGAACTTTCATCTATAAAATGGAAGCCATCGATTATGTGAGCTCCAAGATGCAATCCAGCCATAGAATTCTGTGACTCTGGAATGTTATAGTGGGGGCAGGTAGAAGAGACCAGGAGTATTTTCTAGGTGCGCCGTGGTTTGAATGTGCCCCCTCCAAAATTCAGGCATTGTCAATGTGATGTTATCAAGAGGTAGGGCCTCTATGAGGTGATCAGGCAATGAGGGCTTCTTCCTCATTAATGGGATTAAGGCCCTTACCAAAGAGGCTTCATGCAGCATGTGGCTAGCTGACTGGCTTGCTCTTTGGCCCTTCTGTCATGTGAGGACACAGCATTTGCCCCTCTGGAGGATGCAGCCTCACCAGACAACTAAGCATGCTGGTTCCTTGGAATTCCAGCCTCCAGTACTGTGAGAAATAAATTACTGGGTAATTCTATATGAATTACCCAGTCTCAGGTATTTTTTTGTATGTAGCAAGACAAATGGATTAAGACAAAGTGCTTACCCAAGTCTGAGAGCTTAGAAAGTTCCACTTTGGAATGGAGCAATGGAACCCTAGAAGGCTGAGAACTTTTGCTTAAACAGGAGCTCTGAGAAACCATGTAAGTGGTCACCAATCTCTGAAACTGGTTCTTTAGCTCACAGCTTATCCTTCCTCTGAGGATTAGCGTGTCACCTTCACCTCACTCCCCTCTAGCTTTGTGCCTGGACTTAAGAGTAGCCTTATGACAGTAGGAGCAAACTTCGCTTATTTCATTTTCAGTTTGAGAGCCAGCTGCTCTTGCCACCTCTGTTCCTGAGGGGCAGCTGCAAAGTGTCCTTACTCAGGTGGAGCTGCCAGGCTGGCTTGCAGGTGGGGGCTGGGGTAGTGTCTCTGGCTGTCTTAGTTGAATCCATAGGTGTGATCTCAGAACTGGGCATTTCAGAAACTCCAGGCCTCATCTCATTCTTCCACCATCTAATGCCAACTAGGTAGGACCATTTTCCCTGGCTCAAAGCGCTGTGATATTTCTTCCTTGCCGAGTAGCTATGGGGATGGGCACACAGAAGGGACTCGCAGGTATGTACAGATTGAATCTTCCATTCTAGCACCCACATTGGTGACGGAGTGCTGGAATGGAAGGCTTGGTGTCCATGTGATGTCAATGAGCTGGAGCCACACCAGGAAAGCCTACTAGGCTGTGGCAAACCATTTCCTTTCTTTCCATTGACCACACACTCCTATTGTTTTAACAAGTACTGATGAAAGTGACATTTCGATATTCTGGGGCTCTGCTCTTGCTTTCAAGCTATGCCCCATTCATGTGATGAGGGATGTTCAAGGGACAATTCAATATCAAAACCACAGGGGGAAAATAGCCATAAAGATAATTTATTAACTTAAAATCTCATTTGTATATAAACATTTGCTCACATTCAAAATAACACATACTGAGCTGAGGATAAAATGTGAGCTGGGAGGAGTCTGCCGTAGCCTCCACCTCCCTCAGCAGACTTCATCCAGCTCTGCTCCTGCAGGCCTCTCTCCTTCCCAGCCTCTGCCAGCAGATCTCCAGCATGAGCCTGATGCTGGAAGCAGGGCCAAGTGAAAAGAATTTCTCCAAAGGAAAGAGAGTCCCTCCTTCCCCATGACATGTGGGGTGCTCTAGCTAAGTCCCCACCGTGCGGATCAGGTTTAGATAAACACACGGTGCGCCTCCTGGAAGGGTGACTGTCAGCAAAAGTTTTTCCTTGATTAACCTTGGTTTTTGAAATCAAGCACTTTGGGTCTTGTTAGGAAATTCAATGGAAATACTTTTCCTTTTCCATTTTGCAAACATTGATTGGTTTTTCTCTCACAGGATGGTGGGTAGCAGGGTGGGCACTGTTGTAGCACTGTCTGCTGTACCTTCAATAGGTGTCCAGTCTAGCTTCGTGGAAGTGTCTAGAGACTGGGCAAGCAAATCCCAACCAGTCACCGTGGAGCACTAAACAGGCAGGAAAGGCAGACTCCTTTGTGCCAGGCCCTTTCTCCCAGTGGAATAATTAGGTTAAGCCTCAGGGCTCTACAACAACCTTTTCATATATATGTATATATGGAAGAATAGTAAATTTAACACAGATTAAAATGCTAACACATACACATACTATTCAATTATTAATGAAGACACTAGATTACATATAAATTCATATCCTATTGCCCTCACACCAATACCAACAAAATGCTTACAGGATAGAGAAGCGTGGCTGGTGGGTGAGTGTGGCATATGAAAAACGTGTTGATTGATACTCTGCTGAAAATCCATCTTCGCTCTTCCAAATTGCCCATTCAGGGGGAAGTGAAGAAGCAATTAAACTCCACTCTGTGGCATGTGACCCCAAAAGGCCTTCAGTTTAGACTTTGTTTATGATTCTTCTAAAGGCAAACAAACTTCATAAAGAAATCATGAACCTTTTCTTGATCCTTCTGGCATCTTCTCACCCCAGAGAGCAGTGAAGACACTGGTGTGCAGAACAGGTGACTGTGGTCATGGCTGGTCTGAGGGAGTCATGACACTTAAGCTGGTCATGACACATGGGGCAAGGAACAGATAGTTCTGGGTACCTAAATATAATTGAGAAGATGGCTGAGGGCTCTTAGTTTGCCATCTATTATTTCTGCCACACCAAAGAAAGCTCCACATTCCAAAGGCTTTCTGAAATGGGATGAGACTGATTTGTTTACTCTCACAAGGGTGAACTTTAAAAGAAATTGTAATCAGGCTGGGCACGGTGGCTCATGTCTGTAACCCTAGCACTTTGGGAGGCTAAGGCCAGGGGATCACTTAAGGCCAATTTGAGACCAGCCTGAGCAACATAGCAAGACCCTGTCTCTACAAAAAAGAGAAAAATTAGTCAGGTGTGGTGGCACATGTCTGTAGTCCCACTACCTGGGAGGCTGAAGTGGGAGGATTGCTTGAGCCCAGGAATTTGAGTTTGCAGTGAGCTATCATGATGCCACTGTACTCCAGCCTGGGCAACAGAGTGAGACCCTGTCTCAAAAAAAAAAAAAAAAAAAAAAAAAAAAAGAGAAGAAGAAGAAGAAAGAAAATTGTAATCTGCAATGATTTTTCAATTTTTTAGGGGAATGACAGTTAGTTCTGACTTTCAATTTACCTCGGAATAGAAATATGATATCGATAGGCCCCATTCTTCTCTTCTCCAAAGAACAAAAAGACCCAAGTGAAGGAAGGTTGGGTGGAGGTGACAGGGCCAGGCTCAGCCTGAAGAGACATGAGATTTGGATCTATCTGGACAGGGAGGCTGCTCAACAAGGTTTTTCTAGACTGAAATAATCTAGTTTTCATAAATAAAGAATTCCGGGAAGCCAGGTAGGCTCACTATGGGCGGGTTGCCCTGGGTAGCCTAACCTTGGCTGCCAGTGCTAACCGACAAAGTCTTGCTCCCAGTTTAAGCCTGGGGTTGATAAAAGTGCGAGAGAGGAAAAAAAGCAACACCCTCCAGATCAAATAAAGTCATCAAGACATACACATCTGCAAACACATCTTTCCCTTGCTTTCAATGACTGCAGAGTTTTAAACTCACTGGCTCTCCCAGGTTCATTACACTGCCCCTCAGCTTGAGAGGCTGCTAGAGCCCACTGCAAGCTGAAGGACCCATTTCCAGATTCTGCTGAATAGGAAGACAGAAGAGAGAAAGAGGTCTCAACTGTACTTCTTCCATAGGCTTTCTCTGGGTCAAAGTGAGGCTCAGTGGGAAAAGGGAAGAGACCGTGCTTGGGGTGGTGGAGATTAACCTGGCAAGTGGAGATGGTTCTTTGGGCCATGGGGTTAGTGGCCCTGAGCAGAGCACACGCAGGGCCTGGTCAACCCATGGCCTTTAATCCTCATGGAGTGAAACGGTGGGCCAAAGAAAGCCTGTCAGCCTGCAGCAGCTGGATGGCACTTTCCCTCTAGTGGCATCTTCCCCAGACACAACCATGCGAAGTTCACAAGAGCACAGGTGATGGAGGGTAAATAAACTGGACACTTGGGTCAAAAAGGAATACCTAGAGATTGCTCTTATTCATCCTGGGAAATCAGAAGCATGGTCACCTGAACATCGATAGGGAAAGTGTTTCAGGCTTATGCCTCCACTGGATTTCCCCAGGGTAATCACTCCCTTATGTGATTTAATGCTGCCTGTTTCCAAGGATTCGTTGGGTCTTCACCTACGGAGCCCTTTGGTTACAGGATGAGCAGCTGCCAGGCCGATGACTACTGAGACTGACTCACAATTGGTCCTCAAGTGTTGCTTGGGATGGTAAGGGCATCACTCCAACTTCAGAATTAAATCACCACTTAGAGGTAGTGGTCAGAGAACAGGTTGGAAAAGTGTATTTCTGAAATTGCTTATGTTGCAAAGGGGCTACTTTTAAATTTCAGGGATCTTTCCGTGGAAAGGTTTTCCTTGTGTACAAAAGGGAGCCAACCTTTTTCAGCAGAAGATTGAGAAAAACACTCTTGAAATAAGGCTGAATATGCAATGGTCTCCGCCATGTAGAAAGTATCCTATGTTAATTTTCTAATCTCTGTTTGGCATAGAAAAGATACCGTCCCCCTACCCTCACCCCCCTTAGTGTGTTATCTACTGATTGGTCTGATTGAAAACACCTCGGGTTGTTAGAATGATTTCTATATTCAATACATAACAGGATGCTAGTGAGATAAGTCTTTGTGAAAGGAGAGATACAATTACTTTGCAATCAAATAATTTAAAATCCTGGATCAGTATGTGAAGAGACCCACAAATTTCCTATAGAAATTTTGCAGCATGTGCTTCAGTGTCAAATGAAAAATATATCTTCCAGAATTTGATTCTCCTCTAGGTCTTCAGGGGTCCTGCACATCCCAATCTTCTTCCAGATGGATTTTGGAGGACTGTGTCGGAAAGTACTGCGATTCCAGGCCCCAGCTTCTCTGGAGGGGTGGGGCTGAGGTTTAGGAGCCGACTTTGGGCTCAGAGACTGAACCAAATCCAGCAGAGATGTCTCATACCTGTAAGACACACAACCCAGACACAAAAGGGTCAGTCGACTAGAACATTAGAATGCAAGAAATCCAGCAGAGATGGGCTGCCTAGGACAAGAGTTAGACCCTAGATCATATCCTGTGTAAGAGGCCTCCTAGGGGAACTTTAGGGAAGATAAACACTAGAAGGGCTTCAAGAGCAAGGTCCCTGCTGCCTGTGTGTAAGCTCTTATCTTCTGCTGACGTTTAACATTCATTTCTACCTTATGAAGAGAGACTATAGAGTGGGAAAAGTCATCATAAAAGTAATAATATTAATAGCAACATTTATTGCAGGCTTACTAAGTGTCAGGCAGTCTTCTTAATACTCTGCACATATTTAACCTTCTTTTAACCCTCTAAACAACCCTAGGAAGCAGGTACAGTACTACTCTGATCCATTATATACCTGGGGAAACTGAGGCTCAGGGAAGTAACTCACCTAACAGAAAGCTATCACATGGCAGAGTCTAGAATTGAACCCAGGTAGTTTGTCTCTATCACTCTTATCCAGGACACTAAAGCTGTCTCTCAAAGTCTTTGCAGATGGACAGACTTGGTTCAAATCTCTGCTCTACCATTTGCAAGTCATGTGATATTTGAGAAGTTATTAAATCCCTCAGTCTAGTCTCACCTGTAAGGGACTAACAGAATTTCTGTTAGGATCAAATGTATTAGTTACTATAAATGAATATATAATAGGTGTTCAATAAATGCTAGTTCCTTCCTGTTATCCTACTCCCACCTTTTTTAGAATCTCAGGAAAAGAAACCCTCATCTGAATCTATAAACAGATTCCTCCAAAGAAAGATTGCCTTGGTATCCAGCATTCTTATCAGAAAGAATAAGCTTAGAGCAGCTTAGAGGCAGAGAAATTAATTATGGCTGACGAGACCCTCACCCATGGCCCACTGTGCCTTTTTTCAGGATGGAAAACCAAAGGCATGAATATATCTGCCTCCATACTTCCTCATACAAGATGTCAAGTAATTTCCACAGATAAATCATTAAGTACTCAATGAATGATGAATGAAACTACACCATCCTAATTATTTTCTTAAATTTTTAACTGTTCAAATAATATATGTTTAATAAGAATATGCTTACATTATGAAAATTCCAATACATACAATTATATATAAAGAAAAATAAAAGTCCCTTCAACACTCTGTCCCCCCACCCAAATGCCAATCCCATGCCGCTTCTCAAAAGATCACTGGCAAATATGTTTCCAAATCTTTTTTAGTATAATTACATGGATACATGTGCATTTACAAATTCACAGACATAGACATACATGCATTTACAAACTTAAATTGGGCCATGTTTCTGTACTCATCTATGATCTTCTTCTTCACTTATTAGTATGTTCTGGAGATCATTTCACAATAATGTATATAGACCTGCCTAATTCTTCTAAACTGCAGCAGTGTTCTATCTTACAGATGTGCCATTACCCTAATTTTAAAGAATTCCCATAGCTTTTACTATCTTACTCTAGCTAAAACTTGTATTTAGTATTCCTGTTCTGGAATTTTAAGAAATCAGTATTTGATCATTAGTGTTGATTTAAGAGTAATTTGTTTAAAAACTTCTTCTTCTTTTTTTTTTTTTTTTAAAAAAAGTATGCTCTTCTTGAACTTCTTTTTTACTATATTCATGCAAGGTAGTGTTAGTACAACTTGCTTCAATGAGCAGAAATAAAATGGAATGATAGTGATAGGTTTAGGAACTCTCAGATAAAATAGCTCAAATCAGGGTTGCTTTCACCATGCCATAAACTAGTCAGGTTCATAAAGATACAGTATCTGTCTTCCTTTCTGAGATACTGAATTGAGGTAGGTATCAGAGATCCCTGTGCGATAAGTAGTTTTCTTCTCTCATTCATACCAACCGGTCCTTATAGTCTAAGAGCAAGTCATGGAGAGCTCAGGCATCATTCTGGCCCAGGGAAGTTGAAGTCCCCAAAGGTTCTCTTCTGATTTCTTAATGCTATTAATTTTATAGCGCCAGTTAAACTGACATTCTGTTGGTTTAAAAGCTTACCTCCTATTTCTGTGCCAATTTTGTGGTTCCAACCTCCAGATCTATGAAGCATCTATTGTGCTGAGGCTTTTAAAAGCGGATGCAGTAGATGAAACTGTTACTCTGACAAGTCATTATCATTTAAACAAAGCTGTAGCTAGACACTGTCAGCAAAGTAGAATAATACAGTGGGCTAAATTCACATGTATACATACTTCTAATAGATGACCACTCTTTTAATAAATGGCATGGTTTTTCTGACACCAATGAAACACAGGCAATAACAAAGTGAATAACTATGGAAGAATTTGAGAATTTTCATGTCTGAGACTTTGTTATTCAAGGAGAATAATATTCTTAGTCATCCTAGTAGGACTATCAGAACTCTACTCTGATACTCTGGTAATAGCTCCAAATTAGTATTCTTAATAAAAAAATTGCATTCAAGGTAGTGGTAAGAGGTCAGGCTCTGAAGTCAGATTCTGGATTTGAATCCTGGCTCTACCAATTTCTAACTATTTTGGGCAATTTGCTTAATTTTTCTAAGCTTCAATTGCTTCATTTGTAAAATGAAGGTAAAAACAACAATGTCTACCTTTCTGAGGAATTATGATAATATATATAAACTGCTTAGCACTATGTCTGGAATTTAATAAGTGCCCAATAAACAGAAGCTATTACTATTATTATTTTTAAAATCGTTGTTAGGAAGCAGGATGTAGACAGAGAAAGGGAGGTTACAAAGAAGGATCAGAAAGAACTCTAGAAAAATGTGCCGTTAATGCTATCATATAATGGTGTTTAAACCACTTATATCTTTAGTAAGAAGACTAAAAGACAACACTATTAAAAATAATAATACAAACAATTTGTTAAGAGATAGGCAATACAAAAATGTAAATTGTGACATCGAAAATTCAAAATGTAGGGGAAGACGGGATTTAAGGTGTATGGCTTTTTTTTTTTTTTTTTTGGTTTGTTTCCTTCTTTTGTAATCAAAGTTAAGTAGATACTAGTTTTAAATACTTATTATAAATATAATAGGATTTTTTTGTAAGCCTCACAGTAACCACAAAGCAAAAACCTATAATAGATATACTAAAAATAAAAAGCAACTATCAGAGACAATCACTGAACCACAAAGGAAGACAGTAAAAAGGAAGAAAGAGAGGAGTTACAAAACAAATAGAAAACAAGTGACAAAATGGCAGTAGTAAGGCTTTACCTAACAATAATAATATTGAATGTAGATGGACTAAATTCTTAAGTTAGTCTTAAATTAAAAGATACAGAGTGGCTGAATGGATTAAAAAACAAGAGCCAGCTGTATGCTGCCTACAGGAAACTTGCTTAACCTACAAGAAAACACATAGACCGAAAGTGAAGGGACGGAAAAAAAAATATTCCATGCAAATGGAAACCAAAAAAGAGCAGGAGTAGCTATACTTATATCAGAAAAAACAGACTGTATGTCAAAAACTATAAAAAGAGACAAAAAAGGTCCTTACATAATGATAAGGGGTCAATTCTGCAAAGGGATATAACAATGGTAAATATATATGCACCCAACACTGGAACACCCAAATATATAAAGCAAATATTAATAGATCTAAACGGAGAGATAGATTGTAAGACAATAATAGTAGGAGACTTCAACACCCCACTTTTAGCAATGGACAGATCATCCAGGCAGAAAATCAACAAAGAAACACTGAAGTTAAACCATACTCTAGACCTAATGGACCTAACAAACATGTACAGAACATTTCATCCAACAGCTGCAGAAAACACATTTTTTCTTATTAGCACACAAAATATTTGCTAGGATAGACTACATGTTAGGCCACAAAACAACTCTCAACAAATTCAAAAATATCAAAATCACATCAAGTATCTTTTCTGACCACAACAGAATAAAACTAGAAATCAATAACAAGAGGAACTTTGGAAACTGTAAAAATACATGAAAATTGAATAACATGTCCCTGAATGACCAATGGGTCAATAAAGAAACTAAAGAATTTTAAACATTTCTTTAAAACAAATGAAAATGGACATAACATACTAGAACATATGGGATATAGTAAATTTTGGTACTAAGAGGGAGGTTTATAGTAATAATGTACATGAAAAAAATAGAAAGACTCCACATAAACAGCCTAATGATGCACCTCAAGGAACTAGAAAAGAGCAAATCAAACCCAAAATTAATAGAAGGAAAGAAATAATAAAGATTAGAGCAGAGATAAATGAAATCAAAACTAAAAATAATACAAAAGATAAACAAAATAAAAGGTTATTTTTTTGGAAAAGATAAACAAAATCAATAAACTTTTACCTGGACTAAGAAAAACAGAGAGAACACCCAAATAAATGAAATCAGAGACAAAAAAGGAAACATTACAACTGACACTACAGAAATACAAAGGATCATTATAGACTATCGTGAACAACTATATACCAACAAACTGGAAAACTTAGAAGAAATGGATAAATTCCTGGCCACATACAACCTACCAAGATTTAACCATGAATAAACAGAAAACCTGAACAGACCAATAATGAGTAATGAGGTTGAAGCCATAATAAAAAAAGTCTTCCATCAAAGAAAAGCCCAGGGCCTGATGGATTTACTGCTGAATTCTACATTGAATACATTAAAGAAGACCTAATACCAATTCTACTGAAACTATTTCAAAAAATTAAAGAGAAAGGAATGCGTTCAAACTCACTCTACGAGACCAGTGTTACTCTGATATCAAAACCAGACAAAGACACAACAAAAAAAGAAAATTACCAGCTGATATCCCTGATGAACATAGATGTAAAACTCCTCAACAAAATACTAGCAAACTGAATTTAACAACTTACTAAAAAGATCATTTGCCATGATCAAGTGGGATTCATCTCAGGGATGCAAGGATGGCTCAACATCCTCAAATCAATAAACATAATATATCACATCAACTGATTCAAGAACAAAAACCATACGATCATTTCAATAGATGCTGAAAAAGCATTCGATGAAATTCAACATTGCTTTATGATAAAAACCTTCAACAA